CTTGCACAGCAGTGCAGCAAATGGCCCCGGTTTCTGCAGGCTGTCCCGGAGCATCTTCTCCTTCTGGCTCTCGGAGACCTTCAGGAGGGTGATGTCAGGCATGACTCCCTGCTGTGAATTAGGTAGGGGAAAGTTAGTATTGGGACTGCTTGCCCGTCCCTTTACAGAACTGCAACCGCCGGTTTACAGCCACGCGGTTTACAGCCGCGAGGGGCTGGGACAGGGCCAGAGTTCATGCTTGCAGGATTGCTGCCAGCAGAGACTCGCATTGCTTTCTATGTGAAAGGAGGCCAGTGCCACTCTTAAAGTTTTAAGCGGCCACAAGTCTACGGCTTACCATGTTTGCCATCTAGACAAAGTCCGGTGTCCTGCCCTGCTCCTCAGCTCGCCACAGCAAGACCGCAGGCACTGTAGGCGAGGGCCGAAAATTCGACCTTGTCCTCAGTGCGCGTGTGATAGGTGCTCTGCATGGTCTTGTTCACAGAGAAAGACTATGTTCTCTGTTCACAGATACATTGCTCTGTCTCAGGAATTCACTCCCTTTTTCCAATTCCCACAGCCACATCTGCCCAGAGGCTAGCGCACATTAGGAGGAGGAAGAAGAGGACACGGGAAGACATGTTTGCTGAACTAATGGAATGCTCCCGAGCACAGGCAGCCCAGCAGACACAGTGGAGGGAGAACTTGTCCCAAATGCACCGGGCAAACATTGAACGGGAGGAGAGGTGGCGACAGGAGGACAGGCAGGCTACTCAAACGCTGCTTGGACTAATGAGGGAGCAAACGGACACGCTCCGCCGCCTTGTGGATGTTCTGCAGGACCGGAGGCAGGAGGAGAGAGCCCCGCTGCAGTCTCTCTGTAACTGCCCTGCCCCGCCACCAAGTCCCATACCCCCCTCACCCAAAGTCCAAACACGGAGGGGTGGAAGGGGCCGGGAAAAATTTCACTCCACCCCTGCGGACTGCTCTACCACTAGAAGGCTCTCATTCCCCAAAATTTGAAAAGTCCTTTCCTACCCGCCTCACACAAGACCCCGTCCAAGTTTCACCCCCCCGTTCCATGTGCGGTTGTTAATAAAGAATACGTTTCTGTTCATTTCTGTTTCCATCCTCTTCTTTTGGAGGGGAGTCTGTCTGGAGGGGGGGGAAGGGCCTTGGTCATTGGACAGGACAGTCACCTTTAGCAGGGGGCAGGTGCAGCAGCAGGGCACATATACAGTGCAGTGACTAGTTATCCTGGTCAGTCTGGGAGGTGGTTTTCATGTTCTGTGTGGTGGGGGCGGTGGTGTTGCTCTGTGACTTGGTGGCGGGGGAGGGCAGTTACAGATCTTATGCAGCGGTCCTTACCCTGGATCACAGAGCCGCGCAGCAGGGGATCTGTAACCCTCCTCCCCCTGCAAGACAGTCACATAGCCGACACATACACGCAGTCCCGGCCAGGAGGGCTGGCAGGCTCCGTTGAAACAACCAGTCCACCATCGCGGAGCCTGTCATTCCTGGAGTTTAGAAGCATCATTTGCATCACAACCCTAAACCCGCTCCCCGCCACAGTCTGCGTCCCAGGTTTAAAACATTCCCGTGAAAACAGTAATAAAGACAACGGTGTCCATGAACAAAACAGAACAGATTTTATTTTTTGGGAAGGGGGTGAAGGGGGTATGTAATTGGAGAGGATAGTCGACGGCAACTGGGTAAAGAAACGGGGGCAAGTTCAGCTTCTGTGTCCACAAACTTAAAAGTCAATGGGTACCCTGCTCAGCCTTGAAACTGGCTTTCAAAGCCTCCCGGATGCACAGCGCGTCCCGCTGGGCTCTTCTAATCGCCCGGCTGTCTGGCTGGGCGTAATCAGCAGCCAGGCTATTTGCCTCAACCTCCCACCCCGCCATAAAGGTCTCCCCCTTGCTCTCACACAGATTGTGGAGCACACAGCAAGCTGCAATAACGATGGGGATATTGGTTTCGCTGAGATCACAGCGAGTGAGTAAGCTTCTCCATCTCCCCTTGAGACGGCCAAAAGCACACTCCACTACCATTCTGCACTTGCTCAGCCGGTAGTTGAACAGTTCTTTTTCTGTGTCCAGGGCGCCAGTATAGGGCTTCATGAGCCAGGGCATTAGCGGGTAGGCTGGGTCCCCGAGGATCACTGTAGGCATCTCCACATCCCCAACAGTTATCTTGTGGTCCGGGAAGTAAATACCTTCCTGCAGCCGTCTAAACAGACCAGAGTTCCTGAACACGCGAGCGTCATGAACCTTGCCCGGCCATCCGACGTAGATGTTTGTAAACCGTCCCCGATGGTCCACCAGTGCTTGCAGCACCATTGAAAAGTACCCCTTTCTATTGATGTACTGGCTGGCCTGGTGGCCCGGTCCCAGGATAGGGATGTGAGTCCCATCTATAGCCCCACCGCAGTTTGGGAATCCCATCGCAGCGAAGCCATCTATGATGGCCTGCGCGTTTCCCAGGGTCACTACCTTTGACAGCAGTACCTTGACGATTGCCTTGGCTACTTGCATGACAACAACCCCCACGGTAGATTTGCCCACGCCAAAGTGGTTCGCGACTGACCGGTAGCTGTCCGGCGTTGCAAGCTTCCAGAGGGCTATGGCCACTCGCTTCTGGACAGTCAGGGCTGCTCGCATGCGGGTGTCCTTGCGCTTCAGGGCAGGGGACAGCAACCCACAAAGTTCCAGGAAAGTCCCCTTCCGCATGCGAAAGTTTCGCAGCCACTGGGATTCATCCCAGACCTGAAGCACTATGCGGTCCCACCAGTCCGTGCTTGTTTCCCGGGCCCAGAATCGCCGTTCAACAAAATCCACATGCCCCATTGCAAACGTGATGTCCTCGGCGCTGGGTGTCGTGGTTTCTGACAGCTCTGTGCTACTCTCCGACTTCAGGCCCTCACTCCGCTGCCGTAGCCTCCTCGCCTGATTTCTCTGCATCTGCCTCTGGGAAAGGTGTATGATAAGGTGCGAGGCGTTGAGAACGGCCACAACTGCAGCGATGGTCGCAGCGGGATCCATGATCGCAGTGCTGTGGCGTCCGCGCTGTCACTGATCAAAAAGTGCGCGAACTGATTTCCCGCCGGCGCTTTCAGGGAGGGAGGCAGGGCGGTAGTGACTGACGGATGACGACAGTTACCCAAAAGCACCCTCGCCACAATTTTTTACCCAGAAGCCATTGGGGGCTCGACCCAGAATTCCACTGGGCAGCGGGGACTGCGGGAACTGTGGGATAGCTGCCCACAGTGCACTGCTTCCAATGTCGACGCTTTCCCTGGTAGTGTGGACTGACAAAGTCGAATTACTGTCCTTAGTGTAGACACACACGTTCGACTTTCTAATATCGATTGCACATATTCGATTTAACTAAAATCGAACTACTCTCGTAGTGTAGACATACCCTTAGTTTCACTTTTCATTTTCGGGCTTCCTCAAAATTCAAAGCAAACCTCAAGGGACTGTAAACAAGAGATGGGCTTCAATCAGAACCCTGAATCTCAGCACTCCTGTGCTCTGGGCAAGTTTGGATCTGGAACCTGATTCTAGTTTTCCTTATGGGACCCTATTTCTATAATGAGCCAAACCAAACTCATGGGTCCAAACATTCTCAAACTTTGTGGTGAGATTCAGATCCACTTCCAGATCCTACTTTTGAGGCTGATCCCTAGCTCTATAATAAGATGAAGCAAAATCCCAGGTAAACCTAAACATTGGGGAAATTTGGATCAATCCACACCCCAAACTCTGTAGCATGATCCCAACTCTCTTGTGAACTCATCAATCTAAAGAAATTGTTTCCTCAGACCCCTGAGAACCAAACTGCTGTGCCCTCTACAGCTCTAGATGTACTGTATAATTAAGTGCATTATACGGATTTTAGTCCTTCCTCTGGATCACTGGATGTCAAAACAGCTTCATGATCCCTCTCCATAAAAGATCTGAGATGCACAGAAAAAGCCAAGGTGATATTTTGTGAAAACTAATTAGCTAATGAAAAGCAAAGTATGTGCCCCAAACCTTTTCAACTAAGGTACTCAAAGATAAAAAGGTTTTAGAATAACATGGCCTTTGAATCAGAGATCTTCTATTAAAATGTAACTCACCCAACAAATGTTTCTAGGCACCAGGCAGCCCCAGCAAGGGCGCTGAGAAACAAAATCAGCCTCATGTTTGAAGGGTTAGCCAGAAACAGAAGACCGATGATCTAGCCATATTTATACATGGGGCCTGACATGGCCCCCCTCTTCAACTAAAGTGGTATCTGAATCCCATATGATTGAATTCCCACATATGTCAAAACTCTCAAGGTAGTTGGGCAGATAAGGATGTAATTTCTCCTCTAAGGGTACTTTGCACTCTGATGTTGTGATAATTGGCAGCTGGCTGGGCCAAATTCAGCAAAGCTGGCACAGGAAGGTGCCAAGTTCAAAGCTTTGCCCGCAAAGCTCTATGTGCCCTAGAGGAGATTCAGCCCTCAAGAAGGAGATGGTGTTTCCCCCAGTGGCGCTGGAGGCAGCCTTAATGCCTGTTGGAAATGCACAGGAGCTCCACTGCCGTATGCTCTGCCCAGCCTGGCCCTACCCTCTTTCACAAGTATGGCTCACTTCTGTATTGCAGAGGCTCTGTTCCTGTAACTACGGTTGTTGCCAGTTTGCCCTGTTGCACCCCGGTACTCAGCAGAAGTTCAGCTTAGTTCCTCAATGAATTTGTCCCACTATACTTAAGATGGAGGAACTCCTGTGTTACATCTGCTGTGGAAAGAGATGTCTTCACTAGGCCATGCCAAGGAAATGATATTTATATTTTTAAATAAGCACACTCTTATACATACATTAGCCAGCACATTGTGCTGGGTATATTTATTGTCTATAGCCAAGTTTTATTGAAATGAGTCATTTCCTTGAACCCTCCCACGCTGTGTTTTCACACAGGTTCTGTCTACCTAGTGCAGTGGCTTCAAGCAAACGAAAACCCAAATATAGCTCAAATGAAGGCAAGTCACGTGGTGATACCCCTGGAGGAATTCTCTTCTAATGAACTGCTCTTCCCACGAGGAGGCGGCATGGGATTAAAGAAATGCTGGGACAGCCATTTTCTTGTCCTCTTGGCTTTGCAGTGAAGGCAGGGTTGTTCGCTGATCCAGTGGCTCCCCGTATTCCTTAGCTTCAGTAGTTCTATCTTTCTCTGCCTAAGGCGAGCTGTGGTGGGGATATATTCTGTTTCACTTTCCTTCCCCGAGGATGCCCCTGAATCCAAGTTCTCGCTATTTATGTCTGAGGAGTCGCTATCCTGAGCTTTGAGTCGAACCTTGCTTCCCTTCTTTCTAAGTAGGCCCAGGAGGCGGCCATCTCTGAAGAGAGGGCAGGATCAGTGGACTGGCAGGTGTGCTCTTTGTTTTTCCCATTGAAGAACTTGCTGGGGAAATCCCCGACGTTGAAGCTGCTGTGACGCATGCAGACAGAGTCCCTGGGAACTAACAGAAGAAAAATAGCTTACCAGCACTGTAATCCATAGATTCATAGATTCATTCATAGATTCTAGGACTGGAAGGGACCTTGAGAGGTCATCGAGTCCAGTCCCCTGCCCGCATGGCAGGACCAAAGACTGTCTAGACCATCCCTGATAGACATTTATCTAACCTACTCTTAAATATCTCCAGAGATGGAGATTCCACAACCTCCCTAGGCAATTTATTCCAGT